ATAACAAATTTTGTTTATATGTGACAAAATTAAAAAATTAAAAACAAAAAATTATAATAATATTATAAAAACATTAAAATAAAAAAAACAAATAATACAACTAAAAAACTAATTTATACTATGAATTCAAAAAAATTATCATCAAAGAAAAACTAAAACATATTAACAAAATATTAATATTAAACTTTTTAATTATAATAAATGCTACATTAAGATATAAATTAAAAAATATAAAGATATAAAAGAAAATTTATACAGATAAATTATTAAAAATATTAAATAAAAATAAAAATAAAACAAGTAAGTACAATAAAAAAAATAAAAATAAAATGACTGTTCCGGTACTCCCACAATTATAGTAGATACCGTAGAATTTCTTTTTTAAAAATAATATTCATAAGAAATATTATTTTTTAGGAATAATTTTTTGTATAGATTTTCTATGAAATTATTCTCATAGATAAAGAAACTAACTTTCTTAGGATAAAAATAAAATTTTAATGTGATAAAATATCATGTGACGTTTATTTGTTTATTTGATGTAGTAAAAAGATTTGATTGTTAGGTAACATTTTAAAATATTCTCAAAAACATTTATGATTAAATAAATATATAGAAAATTTTTATGATTTCTAAAAATTATGATTCTTAATATATATTTATTATTTTTGTGCATGAAGCCTATTCATATGCATAAATTTTTTTATTATGTACTAAATTTTAAAAGTTAAATTATATTTTTAGTTCATTATTATTTTTTAAATTTATTTTAGTTCTTTATCTTTTAAAATGTTCGTTTGATTTTTTACCTCCTAGTTTTGCATCAATTTATTCTATCAAAAAATGGTTACTTTCACTTTTGAAACATGATTTTGAATAATTTTTTTTTACTGGTTTAAAGTTTAAAACTTTGGTTCAATCAAAGCTAGAAAATTAATCAAATTACATCCATCATAATTCTATAACATGCTTAACACATGTCGGTAACTTCATCAACCTCACTTTTATAAGAAAATAAGATGAGAGAGTGTAGTTTTAGGGTTATGTAGTACAATGATAATTAGGATATTTAAGAAATAATATTAAACGGATACCCGCGGGCATGGATATCATCATACCCGCCCCCAGCCCATTTATAAACGGGTAAAAAATTATCCGTCCCCATTATCCGCGGGTACCCAATTAACCTATCCATTTATTATCCGTAGCGGATTTTATTCACAGATACCCGCGGGTGCGGGTATTTTTGCCATCCCTATGCTAGATGATGATGTGTGTTAAATAAGTGATGATTGATTAGATTATTGATGTGCACGTATCAATTAAATATCAAATACATGATACGTGTAATTTTTTTCCCAGTAATTACTACCACTAAGCAGCTATGTGAACATGTGATTTGGTTTAATAGAAAAATTACATAGGTCATATAATTTACTAGACAATTCACTTAAACATCAATTATCCAATCAACCATAACTTATTTTTATGTTTATTTTATTTTGATGTAGAAGATGATGATAAAGATGATCAAGAAAAAAAGTAGAGACAACTTTTTCCAAGAGAGCTTCTAATATTCTTAAAATAAAAATTCAAAGTTAATTAATTGTATTTTGAACTTGTTTTGTGGACTATTAAAAAATTTAGTTTATAAGTAATTTGTAAGTTTATAATTTGGTTTTGATTTTGGTGTAAGTGGACTAATTTCTATTTGATTTTGTTTTAAGTTTGTAATTTGCTTTTGTTGAACATATATTATGTACAATATGTATGCATTTTTAATTTCATATGGTTATATTTATTTATTTGTAGCAAAAAAAATTTTATTTGAACATAAAATATTTTTTTTTCCATTTTTTTATTTTTATTTTGTATGTGGGCTGACCCGCCAACCTGCTAATCTGTCCTTAGACGGGACGGGCTAGCATCCCCAGCCCATTTTACATTGACGGGCCGGGCCAAAATGAGCCGGATTGGCCCGTTTTACCATCCTATTTTATATCGTCACTTAATATATAAGACATGACTCCAATCACTAATTAATTTATGTGATGAAAAATAATGGAAGATTAAAAAGTTCACAAAAAATTAACAAGAACTAAATGTTCAACTCTTAAAAAATTAAAAGAATAAAAACTTAATTAACTCTAAATTAAATATAAAGTTACCGCAAGATGCTTTCCCAGAGACTGAAGAAATTCATGAGTCCAAAGATTAGACTGGTAATTAGCTGAACGTCTATTTTCATTTTGTGTTAAAAGGGTATCCGGCATCCTGTTTGCTAGCGGCATAAATGACCTGACTAGACCTGTTGAGAAATTTGGCATTGGCAAGAGGTTTTTTGGGTCTAAGGTCTATAATATGTGATCTAGAAAGAATTTGTAAGGCACTCAAATTGTAGGGAAGACTCAATAAACCACTATTGCCACGACGTAACACTACACTATGTGCGTCTTAAGTAATGTTTCTCTCTATATACTCACACGACCTCAAGCAAAAACAAGAAAAAACAGGTACCAAAACCTAATTACCTAACATGTCAACAACCCAAAATCAGCACAACCACTGACTAATTTTTATAAAATCTCAAGGATAATGAAATTAAAGATGGTAAATGTTTAACTACATAATTTAGTTTCACAACTATAATTTCTTTAAATAGTTATAATGGAAATTTATAATAAACATTTATCAATGCAAATTACGACCAATTTTAGTTTTTAATAGAAACCAATTTCAGTTTTTATTATAAATTAAGTAGTGAGGAAATAACATTTTTTTAATAATATTAGATGAAATAACGAAATATACTTTCTTTAATTACATTGCTCTCATCTTAACTACTTTAAAAATACACTTTACGTGAATAAATAGTATATGTTCCACTGTAGTATATTTTAATGTAAACGTGTGTGTCACTAACCATGATTCCATGGACAAAAATCCTCCCAAAAGTATTTTACTCATCTCTTCAAATTTTAAGGTCTTCAACAACTGATTTTAGAGTGCGTAAGCAAAATAAGATTTAAATTATTTCAATAATCGATTATATAAATAATTGATCATTATTATATAAAATAAAATTTACAGAGAGAGAGAGAGATTGTAACTGATAATTTTTTACATTAAAATAATAAAAAAATATAATACAAATTATCTCACAAGGTAGAATATTAAAATGAGATAATAATAAAACAATGAAATTTAAACATTTTAAAGGGAAATATAATTTATTTTTGAATTATTAAATAAGTTATCATTAGATAAGAAATTGATAAATAAATACTTAACTGATATATATCTCGGCCGAACCTATATCATTGATACCAAACAAGGAACCATGGCAATGGTCAATAACCAGGAAAGACGGTGGCCTAAAACTATGTTATGTTTTATTAAGGACAATCATATGTTCCTAATTATGTACAGCTAGAGAATATACCCGACTATATTTATAATGTACAAGCTTTACCATCTTCAGAGAAATTTGTGTGAATTATTCTAATAAAATATTTTAGTTAAAATTGTAAAATATAATAAATATTTTAACATTCTAAACTCAATCTTTGTATATGAGACACAAATTTTTATCTTATATAAGAGAGTTTTTTTTTTTTGGTAAAGATAGGAAATATTACAAAGATGGTCACAATGAGATTTGAACCTAGGTCCTCATGCTTCTAACTATCTCAATCCCTCCCCACCTAACCACTAGGCTAACCCTAGTAGTTATATAAGAGAGTTTATAAGAACTTTTCTTTAATATTTTTTTTAACATCTTATATAATTCAATTTATATTTATTACATTTACCTGTTTATTAAATATTAATATTTTAAAAAAATTGATGAATTTTTTTAAAAGATTCTTTTAGCTTTCAATTTTATTTAAAAAATCTATCTATAAATTAAATTTTAATAATTCTAAATAAATTAACAATAATTTAAAAATATTTTATACTATAATATAAATTATTTATTATAAATTTAAAATATAATTTTATATTTAAATATAATATATATATATATATATATAATTTGTTCTAACAAATAGTTATTAATACTTTTAAATGAATTGAAACATCTAAAACATAAACCATAGGTCCATGTAATAATAATTGGTTAATTATTTTCAGGGACGACGTCTAAAATAACTAAATAATTTTGGAATATACTATTTGATTAAAATTTTACAAATTAAAATAAACAGTTATAATTTAAAGAAATTCAGCTGTCAAAAATTATTATTTTAATATTTTATCGATTTAAGAAGAGGGAGACAATATTTGAATAGAAAATAAAAGAAGTTAAAATTATTATTAAAAAATTATTAATACGTCCCTAAGACTTACATAAATATTAATAAATTAGTATTTTAGTTTGTGATGCATAAAATAACTGCTGTATAACTAAAATTTATAAAAATAATAATAATAATAATTTTGAGTATAGATAATCTATTTGCCTATCTATAAATATATCATATAATTTTAGAATATAGGTAAGGGAAAAATTTATAACTCGGTAAAACTAGTTTTTAAGATTGATTTTTTTTTCTATTTATGTATATTATTATTTTAGTTTTATTTTTAGTTGATATGAATTTTAATTTTTTTTTAAATACAATCCTATTCCTAGTATTATTAGGCTTGGCATAGATAAAATGGTAGGTGACAAACTTTAATAGATTTAAAATAGGTTTTAGGCTTAATTGCGTTTTTATCCCTCAAGTATTGTAATTGTGCAATTTTTATCTCCAAAATTTTAGTTGGGTAATTTTAGTCCCTAAAAGATTGTAATTGTGTGATTTTAGTCCCTTAATTTTTAATTGAACAGTTTTAGTCCCTCAACTATTATAATTGTGCGATTTTAGTCTTTTTCATTTAAAATTTAGTAATTTTAGAATATATATATATATATATGTATGTATGTGTGTGTTAGTTCAACTCAGCCTGAAACAAATCTTGACCTATTTTTATTAATTTTAAGTCGGCTCATCCGATTTCTTATCAATTCTTTTATATATTATTTTTGTGGTTCTTCTAAATTATACTAATAATATTATTGATATTAATTTATTAGTAATATTATAAAAATAATAATATATAAATTTTATTTATTTATTAAAAATGAATATATATATATGTTAATGATAAATAATTGTATAATTTTAAAATATTGTATATATATACATATATATATATATATTAAAATTATTAAATTTTTAATGGGAAAGACTAAAATCACATAATTATGATATTTAAGTGACTAAAATTGTTCAATTAAAAATTGAAGGACCAAAATTGCACTATTACAATCTTTTAGGAACTAAAATTATCCAATTAAAACTTTGAGGATAAAAATTGCACAATTGCAATACTTGAGGGATCAAAAACGCAATTAAGTCTAGGTTTTAATAACTTATTATTGTACCTACTATAATTATCATTATTGTCATTGTTGTCATCATCTTCATCATTTGTGGTGGTGTGATGACAATAATGATGATGGTGGCAGATGTTCCAATGGTGGTAATAACAACAATAATGATAGAGATAACATGATGGTAGCGATATGTGGTAAATTTATTTATAATTTTTTTTTATCTAAGTTATTTAATTTAATTTAATAATTGAAACTAGTCATTCTTATTCTCACATAAAAAAAACTCTCTTTCATAGGATATATTTCCTATGAGTGTGTGTGTTAAAAAAAAGTCTTATAAACAATATCAATTATTGATTAAAGATTAAAAATAATAAATTATCAAAATTAAAATTTAATTATAAAACACATCGTATGAGAATACTTGTAATATTGTATGTTTTTATGCATGTTATGTGTTGTTTGATGATATATGATGTTTTAAAGTTGGTGTGGTGTGTTTATGTTGTTTATAAGAGCTCTAAAGATTAAGAAATCATTAAGGGCTAAATTGTTTAGAGTTCTTAAGTTGAGGTCAAAGTTGATCAACAACTGAGAAATATATATAAAATTTTAGGAAGACATTAACTTTGTGATACAAGCTTGAGGAGCTCAAAATTTTAGAGAGAAGACGACCCTTGAGTGCCCCATGGTTCTTCCTTTTCCTTCATTGATTTCCTTCATTTCTTGAAGCGATTAACGTAAAAGAAGCTTGTATATTAATTTTTCTTTACCTGATTGTATTGATTTATGAGTTGTTTAATTATTAGTGGAAATTGTATAAAGTTTGGTGTTGTTTGACGTTGTGGGTGAAGATGACGGTTTCGGGCTTTAGAACCAAATCACAAAAGTGGAAGATTCTTGTTATATTGTTATTGCATGTTGTTTTTTAAGGTTGGATTTGAGTTTCTTATGATCATTTTGATGTTTTAAATGTAAAAGATGATGTTTGGATGATCTAACAGAGTGCATGTAATACATGATAAATTTATTTGTAATCTTTTATCTAAGTCATTTAATTTAATCTAATAGCTAAAACTAATCCCTTTTATTCTCACACAAAAATCCTTGCTCACACATGATATATTTCATGTATATGTGTGTTATAGAAAATAACAATTATTGATTAAATATTCAAAATAACAAAATATTGAAATTAAAATTTAATTATAAAACACATCGTATAAGACTACCTGTAACATTGTATGTTTTATGTTTTTTTATGTATGTTATGTGTTGTTTGATGATATCTGATGTTTTAAAGTTGTTGTGATGTGTTTTATGTTGGTTATGAGTTTAAAGGATTAAGGAATTGTTGAGGTTTAAATTGTTTAGAGTTTTTGAGTTGAGGTCAAAGTTAACCAACAACGAGGAAATTTCTGAGTTTTTAAGAAGATATTAACTTTGTAAGTTCATTCTTCTTAGGTTTTAGAGAGAAGGACTTTGGAGAAAGAGAAGTTGGATATTTATTCAGATTCCACAAGGAGCTTCCTTGTCCTACCAAGAGGCTAAGTTGAGATACAAGCTTGAGGAGCTCAAAATCTTAGAGAGAAGTCAACCCTTAAGGGTCCCGTGGTTCTTCCTTTTCCCTCATTAATTTCCTTTGTCGTTTCTTGAAGCAATTAAGGTAAAGGAAGCTTGTATATTGATTTTTCTTTATTTGATTGTGTTGAATTTTTAGTTATTTGACCCATTAGAGGCAATTGTATGAAATTTGGTGTTGTTTAACGTTGTGGGTGAAGATGGCAGTTTAGGGCTATATAACCAAATCACAAAAGTGGAAGATTCTTGTTGCATGTTGTTTTTAAGGTTGGATTTGAGTTTTTCGAGTTATTTACGATCATTTTGATGGCTTGCATATAAGAAATGGTGACTGGATTATCTAACAGAGTGCATGTACCAATGTGGTGCATTGCATTCTTGCTCAATTAAGGGGTCTACTCGTCGAGAAAACCATCAAAGGGAAGGCTAAAGAATGTGGGTTCATGTTTAACACACATTGAAGCTACATCGAAAGTGACATTATTGTTG